GACCGTCTGGAATGGCAGAGATGGGGGAGTGGATAGGGCAGAAAGAGGTGTATGGGCTGCATCTTGACTCCTGATCGGCTGCGGTAAGCTCGCATCGGAGCATCGCTGGTATCTCCCATGTGGTGTTGCCTTCTCTGTTGCATATATATGTTGCTGACACAAACTGAAGCCGCAGCCCTTTTACTGGCAGCCTATGTATCACCTGCACAATCTTGTGCAAAACGAGGCAGCGTGGAGCTTGGCAGTACCAGTTTCGAGACCTTACCGAGGGCGCCGCCACTGCGATAGCGGGGTTTCAAATCATACAGGTTCTCACTTCTGTTCTAGGATAGGGTCTAATTTGAAGCATCGCATGTCACAATTGGACGTACCCACGCCTGCTTCCAGGATGTTGCGAATCATCTCACAGTTTGAACTTGTCAGCTCAGCTCGGTTCATCAATTCTGGGCCCACCGGTGAGTGACGTGTGACTGGGAACATTGCAGATCAGCGCACGATCCATCAATCCGATGGCCTCAGATGAATGTCTGGCCGCATGAAGGCAATCTCGTGGACACATTCTTTCTTGATGGCCGGCCTTCTTCACTAATCATTAATCTATTGTAGAATTTCGAACAACTTCCGGTGCATCTCAAGCACCAAAATTGGTCTTGATTAATGAACTAGCCCAAGTCTGTATCTGACCTCAGCACAATCAATACTGTGTCTGGACTCATTCCTCCTGCACGTATGCTGACATTCTCAACTTCTTCTGGCTGTCGTGAGACCATCCTCAGCTGATGGATGAATTGAGAAGCTTACTGGAGTGGTGCACAGTAGGGTGCCCACTGCCGAGTGCTTGTCTCTACACCAGCACTTGTACTGCTTGCACTCGAGTCTCGAGTGAAAGATATATGCAAATGCAATCCCATTCCTCAAAGTGACCCATGTCGCCTCAGCTGAGCATACCCTTCAATGTTCCGAGTATTCATCCTGACTTCCTGACATCATGTTCGGCGGAAGTGTGCAGGTGAGTTCATTGAGCGGTCTTCTCCCGCTTATATTGATGTGGCTCAAGGAACGTCAGACTCATGGCACCAGCGGTAAGGTTTGCCAATGATTTCTAAACTTCCTTGTGTCGCACGGCATGGTGATGGTGAGAAAGCACGAGAGTAACACATTAATAATAATTAGGGAGACAGACGTTGGCGGCATCTGACCTTCTCCCCCCTTCCCTCCTACCTAGATTCTCACCCTTCATGCGCGCATGTTCGTCTCCACCGCTCTCACTTTGTGCTGAATTCAACTGTCCAATCACTCGTCGTGGTCATGTTCGGTGAGTACCACTCACGTCTGATCCTTGCTGACCACCTTGCTTTCTGGGAATGGTGTGGCATGTGCAGAATATCACATCCAGGTCTGATCGTGCTTGTGCCCCGGTCCCGCACCATCTCATTCGGTAAGTGCTTTCAACGATCGCTTACCCTGTTTGGTTTGTACTCACGTTTCCGGTGCGCAGACACGTTCTCGCTGCTTGCAAAATGTGCAGCCTGTGAATCGATCAGCAATCAAGCAACAGAGTCCTAATTGAGAAAGACGGTCGCGCTCTCCCACCCTCGGTCAACAATTCACAATCAGCCGCTTCGATTGTCAGTGCGCAGCGTGCCGCTTCTTTCACTGATGGACCGATAACAATAACGTACGCACCGCACCTCTGTCCTTATTCATGTGCTGACAACCTAAACGCGCTCACGACAGGACTACCGCGAGAGTCGGCTGGCCAGCATGAGGCCGCTGAACATGCGAGATGAACCGTCGCCTAGTCCATGCTGCCATGCCTGTGTCTGACACCGCGACGGATGTCTCCAGGTGGTGGCATTAACTGACACAAGCTTCTCCCAGACAGTACACGGCCACTGCGTCAGCTCATCACGACCAGGCGGAATGCACCATGTCACCATGTGCAGGTCTCCACCAAAGTACATCGGCATGCATACGCAGCTCCTTGCTCAGTCGCTGACACGGACAGGCTCACTGAAACTCGCCAGGATGTTCCCTCATCTTGTGGGTCTCGCATGCCCGCACGTGGCGAAACAGCCAACCCGTTCGTGTCATCCTTCCGGACGGACACGTTTTCCAAGCAGCACGCAGCCGCTGCCCTCATGAAGTCCACTCGCGATGACCTCATTTCCATCCCTGTAGAAACCATCGATGACTTGAGCATAATTGTTGAGGACAACCATCGCCACTGTGTTCGTAAATACCGTCCTGCCAGTGTACCCATCACACACCTGCGTTCGATGCAACCATCGACGCATCCTCGTCGCTCAACCAACCCGAAGACGGCTGTCAAAGCCGCTAAACGATTGCTGCCACGACATTGAAGACTCACTCGTCATGGCACGGCACCATGTATGCGAATCTCCACCCGACCGTCAACGTGGATGCTTCGCGAAATTGATGCAAATGCGCCGACTACAAATCCTCCAGCCCGAACTTACCCCGTGCACAGCGCGTTTCCGGGGCTAGCATAGATTAACACCACTCCAACTTGCCCACGCCTGTCTTTCCCAGACAGCGCACGGCGGCCACCGTGACATCCGTTGAGGAGTCTCCGGACGCGGTGTGCCGCTCTTCACTTGACCACCAATACCCACTCCTCGCAGGACCAATGGATACGTACCGACAGCAAACCTCCGACCGGACCTTGGACGCAGCGGCATCCGTCGCTCCTCGCGTAAGTCCCGTCCATACGATTTTCTGGGTAGACCGTCGATGACGCTGTTCCCGGCCCAGACTCGCTATCTGGACTGTCATGGTACGCTGTGCATGTCGATCGATCGTGGCTGTCTGACCAGTGAGTAATTGATACGCACCAGGACGACTGACACACGCGGACAGCAAGCCCATCCGATCTGGACACCGTTCCGTCCACCGCCTCTTCCGTAAGTCCACTCGCACACCTCGCCTGTCGCCCGTCGCTCATGCTCTCCGTGCAGACTGCGTTCATTCGCCTCGCAAGCAGGTAAGCCTGCACCCGCCGGTCTCGCAACCACGTCCTCACCCCACATCATGGCCAGGCCACCCGGACAGATCAAGACCGAGGAGAATACAGTCGAAGGGTTGTGTTTGATGGGTGGATGTAATAGGGTAGAGGAAATGGCATTGAGGCAAGCGTCGGAAGGACCGATGACAGCGAGCGTGAGTGATGGGACGCGGCGCAGCTGGCGAGTTGGCGAGCACGCTTGAGATTGGTGAGAGCGTGCATGATCAGCGGCGCACGATCGGTATGAGATGCAGAATAGCAGCTCGATCCTGTGAGAGGGCGACAAGGCCCACTCGAAGTGGGATGAGTGTAATGGAGGTCGATTCTCACGCGTGCCATCGCCTCCGCGCGCGATAAGCAGTGAACACGAGAGACGAGATGCGTGCTCGCAGCGCACACTAGCACCATCGCACGACGTGTCTCGAGGCATTCAATTGGCCCACGATGGCGATGCGGTGTGCGGACGCGCAAGGGGTTCACGGTGAGACATTCGCCCGCGGGCAGCAGGACCATGCGGCGTCACCGTCTCGGACTGTGCTCGCGTCCTCAATTCACATCATGGCCTACATGCTGAAAGCCGTCCGGAGAATGGAGAAGAACGTTGAATTGAAAATGAGTAGTACGGGGAGGGAACATGGGAGTGGAAACAAAAGAGACGAGCCTGAGAAGTGCCCATACCGACTGCATGTCACACGTCCCGTCCAGCGCCGCATCGTCCAGCAGCATTGCCCGTGAAGCAGATAGCAAGGCGCGTCGCCACAGCGTTAGCATCGCGACGCAAGCTCGTTGAGCTCCGGCATCTCCAGCTCGATGATGGTCGCGTTCTTGCCTTGGCAAGTCTGCACCACCCTCACCTGATTGTCGAGTGGAGGTCCTGCAGCGTTATCGGCAGCGCCGAGAGTGGCATGTACGTCGTCCTCAATAGATGCATAGGGGGCATTCTCGACCAGTGGCATGCGCCGCGGGATGCGCTTGGGGAGAGATCGCGGTTACTGGTTTGTTTGCCGTTGGGGTCGATCGACGGGTGCCACCGTTGAGCGCATGCCATCTCAGCTTGCCTGTCCCCACGGCATCCGTCGGTCAGCTTTAAGCAGTGCAAATAGGCTGCGTGGCGCATATACCCGATTCTCAGTCATCATCATCCTGACTCCATCCGGATCCCGATACCTTAATATTGCCATGCCTCGTGGCTTCCATACCCTCCAAGTTGCCTGTGCACATCCGCCGCACAGCCATACCCGGATCCACCGTCACTAATGCCGCTTGAATATCCTCGACTCCGCCCCTGTCAAGCAAGCAATCTCATTAAGGCACGTCCGTTCTGAAGACCCCATCAGCATGTGGTCTCCATTCGGACGAAACACCATCGACCAGCCATGGGAGGTCGTCGGCTCCAAGAGCGTTGAGCCCGTGCCGACATTCGACGACCACGACGGTGAGTTTGGCTATGCGATCGGAATCACCTCAAGCTGAGCTTTTGCATTTGCACGACAGACCTGGACAGCATTTGCACGACAGATCTGGACATCGTGCGCGCGAGCCCGACTGACATCAGCGCGAAGAGCGTGTTCGACGTCAAGCCGCCGTTCGTGCACGCGACCGCAGACGCTGCTCACCCACGCAGGTTCGATCTGGGAAGTGCGCTGCGCACCGCACTCGCGCCTGCTGAAGGAGGCCGCGCGCCTCGGGTACAACGTCTTCCTGCTCGAGGGGTGAGTCCTTCACCCCCGATGCCCATGCACTTTACCAAGTTCTGCCATCACAGCTGGTCAGTCACCCTCATGCGCAAGCACGTCCATACGCCCCCGCCCTCTCCGCCCCCTTCTGCCTCGTCCGCCGCCCCGCTCTCCCTGTGCCGCTCTTCCAGCACCCCTTCC